CTCCTGAAACAGCTACTTTCATATAAACATTGAATTACACGAAAGAAAAATACTTTCGAAACAAATACTTTTATATGAACACTGAGTTATACCAAAAACACTTTTCTTTACTCAGTTTGTATTCCAAACATTCGTTGTGGAATTGAATCATATATAATTCACAGGATTCCTACGAAATTTTGTTGATTGACTCCTGAAACATTAGATGTAGTACAAGGTGTTCTGTGATATCAGTCTGTTGCTATTTTGCCACCATCTATATTTTTTTGAAGACGGGTAGCCAAGTACGATCCATTTCTAGAAAGCTGTTCGAAATATACTTCTCTCCAAATATGAGAATACAGGGTGTTTCAAATTCGATCCTCACAATTGGGATCTCGGAAATTATGAGAGATACGAAGATGGAAAAATTGGGGCAAAGTTGTGCGTTTACCTGACTGACAATATGCCGTTGAGAAAGTTCTGTCATTCCGAGTATATCCGGAGATATCCGGATAAAACAGAAATTTCGACAAATGGTTTTAATTTTTTCTGGTTTTATTTTTCGAAGGATTCGAAAATAAATTGCACTTCCACATTTCCATTTTTGTCCCTGCTACATAATGTTGCTTTCAAATTTGCTATCCGTCCACCATCATCAACTGTTTGTTTGAAGGTGGTTGACAATGTTTCGTGGTGTATTTCATCAGTTCGGACTTCCATTGTCTGATATAATATAAATTGATTTGAAATCCCTGAAGGCATAAAGTTTAAGATCATCCATATAAAACAAATGGGTGACCTTGTGCCTCCGGTTTCCGGGGGTGCCACAGTTATACCCTCGAGTATTTCTGATCGCAACCGATAATGGCAATACTGAGATGCAGAAGTGAAGGGGACTGAGGGAATCACCCGGAAGTACACTCCTTCTGAAAGTGACCCACCCTGTTTGGACTCTTGCTTGACCAGATGTTATGGTGGAACAGTTGTTCAAAGCATCTCACTATTTTGTCAGGTACCGCAAGGCATCTGAGCAAATGCAAGATGAGTTTATGCGAAATCGTATCAAATGCCTTACGGTAATCGATTCAGGCCATAGAGAGGTTACGCTTATATTGTATCGAGTCCTGCGTTACACATCTATCGATGAGGAGGTTCTCTTTACATCCAGCGGCTCCTCTCTTCGACCCTCTCTGCTCATATATCCGTTCGAACACTCGGTCAACTGCGGTGAGTATTCGTGTATATAAGATGCTTGTAAACAACTTATAACACGAATTCAAGCATGTTATCGGTCTGTAATTCTTAGGAATCGACAAATCTCCGCTTTTGGGGATGAGAACGGTCCGCCCCTCGACAAACCAATCCGGAATCGGCTGCTCTCCGTCCAGCCATGAGTTGAAAACTCTGGCCAGAAGGCGGTGGGTACTTGGTAGTTTTTTCCACCAATAAGTGTTCAGCCCATCTGGGCCTGGAGCAGCAAAGTTCTTGGAACCAACAAGGGCCCTTCGAACGTCATCCGGGGTTATCGGGTTGCGCAGTTCATTGAGCTCAGGCTGTCGAAGCTCTCTGTTGAAAGCTTCGAACTGCGCTAGGGCTGGAGTGTCTAAGTTGAGTGGCTGCGGGTGTTCATAGATATCCTTCCAGAAGGATTCCACCTGATCAGCAGTCGGGGTCATTGAATGCCATTCTTTAGAAAAAGAAATAACTACCTACGAATTTGTAGTTTCACTTGTGATATGGTATGACATTCTTACAAAGATAAATGTTATGAGTAAAATGTGGCAAAGTGAAAACATGCCCTTAGATGTGGCTATACAACACCTAGACGCATTCACAAATTGGCTCGATAATTATCGAAAAAATGGTTTCCCTTGTATCAGCGAGAGAAATAGCCGAAGAAAATTATATTGACAGTTCAAAGAAGTCAGAAGACGACGTAAAAAAAGCATTTTGATTATGAAGGAGAAGATGAAGCTCAAGAATTGAATGCGGAAGAGAATTTCAAAATAAACTATTTTTATGTAATTGTCGACAATGTGCGCGCAAGTTGTCATCCTAGGTCTGAGGCACTTAAACATCATGAGAGCATATTCGGTTTCATGTATAATATAAAAAGATTAAAGGAAATTGGTGATAGTGGACTTTTGAAGAAATGCAACGACTTGCAAATATCTATGAGAGCAGGGGAATCATGTGATATTGATGGACATGAATTGTACGAAGAACTAAGTATGTTTATTCATGTATTTGAAGAAAACGACGACATTATCTCGGTGCTGAAATACATAATAGAAAAAAAATTAACCGAAGTTTACCCGACTATCAAAATAGTGCTGAGAATTATTGCCGCCACACCTGTAACAGTTGCGTCTGCTGAAAGGAGTTTTTCGAAGCTTAAAATTATCAAAACATATTTGAGGAATTCGATGACACAAGAACGGCTTTCAGCCCTTTCAATTGAAAATGACGTAGCTCATTCGTTAGATTATTGTGCTTTAATTAAAGATTTCAGTCAAATCTACTTTCGCATCACATACTTTTCACGAGAGGCAAAGGGCCTCACAAAGACCTGCCGCCCGGAACCTCGCAATGGGTAAGGCCGCCGCTGCACAATCGTCGAAATATTCTTGTAATGTATAATAAGCTTTAGCCAATAAGAAATCTTTCAGTGATTTTTTGAATTCGAGAGAATTACAGGCCTTCATTAGATTAGGGAGTTTATTATATATTTTTACCCCAGCATAAATTGGTGATTTTTCAAATGCGAATGTTCTGTGAGTCATTGTTATTAATTTTGTAGCTTTTGTAGTGCAATATTGGTGGTGGTAATTGTTTTTCATCAGCTCATTTTCATGTTTTTCAATGTGCAAGCAACATTTATATATGTAAATGCAGCTAACTGTGTTAATCTTTTTACTCTTGAAAATTTTCCTGCAAGAATCCGTTTTTGTGTAACAAATATCCTATTTATTTCGGTAGCATTCGCCCATAACGTGATGTGAAATGATAGTGCAGAATATACTAATGCATAATAAACTTGGATAAGAATATGCTTATGAAGTTTATACCTCCATTGCAGAATTGCGAAGAAGGATTTGGAGAGTTTCTTTGTCAATATGCTCAGACCATGAGAGTGATTTATCAATCATTACACCCATAAACTTAGTGGAGTTATGTGTCTGAAGGACTTCACTATCGATCAGATTGTTCTTATTGAAATATATAATTTTTGTTTTCTGTGCATTAAGCATCAGTTTATTGGAATAACAATATTTTGTCATTTCACTAATACAGAGTTCAACCGATAGAATCATATCCTCCATAGATGATTCAGCTATACCAAATGTGTCATCAGCAAAATTGATGAGATAAAAGCGCCTATCGACATTTATTGGGAGGTCATTGAGAAATAGTAAGAAAAGCAATGTTCCCAGAATTGAACCTTGCGCTACTCCAACATCAACTGAATATCTATCTGACTCAACACCATCTAATTCTACAAAGAATTGTCTATTTGTTAGGAATGAAATGATCCAGTCAAGAATATTTCCTCTAATGCCCATATTATACAGTTTGGAAGCCATAAACACTTTATCAATACAGTCAAAAGCTTTTGACAGGTCGAAGAAAATTCCTGCCACGTGCTTTCTAATGTCGATATTTACCGTCTGATTTCAAAATGTCTTCTGACAATTTTGATCCTAATTTTGATGTAGTCTCGATGTTCATTCTCACGCACTTTTAATGGTATTGTTGGGTTTTGTGAGTATACATCTCAGTGCATTTGTTGTTCTGTAAATACATGAATATTATTGGAGTTTAATCCCAACACCAAACCGTTATTTTTAACCCCTCGACACGTGTTTCAATTACCAAGTGATCATCTTCAAGAGGAAGATTAAACTGCTGGTCCCAAACAGTATATCACAAGTTCTGTAAAAAGTTCTAACATCATACAGCGTGACTCACGGTCGATGGTAGGTTAGACGTTTCTGCAAAACGCAAAACATGATTTTTCTGAAAATTTCACCTCTCACATTTCCCTACCTGTTCTATCGATCTAAAATATTTTCAGCATTGCGGCGTTGCCACTTCCATCAAAAAGTCCTAGCAACTTAATTTTTTTTGTTACTGATGAATAGAAAATTTTTCATTGCGAAAAATACTTTGAATTCGCGTAGTAACTCATTGGGTGAACTGAGAAGTTGCCCTTTTCAGACATGTATAAAGTCTTCCATTATAATTTTCATATTTTTTAGATTATGGAAGGTGAAAATACCCAAAGAAGGTGAAAAAACTTCACTAATTTCTGTATGAAAAAAAATTGTGGGTGCTTTTTTTTGACCCAACAAAAGCATTTGATTGTTTAGATCTGACCTACACCGAGATTGAATTATTCTATTATTTCGAAAGCTTTGTGTCAACTTGGAGCAACATCAGACCTCTTCTTCCTATGTAATCTGCCAGTTGCTAATTTAATAGTTAACATAGTGTTCCACCAACAGATACTTTTACTTTCCCAACTTACGGAATCAATAACTAGACATGCTGGACTGAATTCCAAAATCAATGATTCATCAGTATTCAAACTACTGTAAATTTTTCTACTCACATATCTTTTGTTTCGTTATTTTTTTGCGTTGATTTAATTTTTTTTTCAACCTTCTTACTTTCGACAAGGTCGAGAATGAAAAAGATTTACTGGATGATGGGGTAGAAATCCGTACACTCCATTTTTTCCAAATTTTCTTTCGACATGGTGAACTTTCACCTTTTCACAAATTCTCAGCTCCACAAATTTTATTTAAGTAGGTTACTACTTCCACTGTAACACGCTTATATTTCAATATAACCTGAAACTACCATGGTTCGATGATACACTTAAGGATATGAGAAATAATCTTAAGGCAGCAAAAGTCGCAGCAGATATGTCACGAAAGCCATTCTATACGACTGCATTCAAGGCTATGAAGGAAGATTATAAGGTCCAGTTGAAAAAACGAAAAAAAGAAGTAAATGAAAAATTTATATTGAGTTCCACTAATATTTCCAGAGCTTGCTGGAATATAATAAACAGTGAAAGGAAACCTATTAATGCAATTAAACCAGTAGAGCTCTCAGCACAATGCTTGAATGACTGTTTCTGCAGTATAGCTGATAATACTATTAAAGCTCTCTCGATTAATGAAATAAATAACTACAAAAACTTTCCCTTGCCATGCGAATCTTTTTTTCTGGACCCTGTCTGTCCTCAAGAAGTAGTTGATACGATAAAGTCTCTTAAAAACAGCAACTGTCGCGATACATACGACCTAAATAGCCATATCATTAAGTCGGTGGCTGATATAATTGCAGCTCCACTAACATTACTAATAAAGGAAATCTTTTCAACTGGAATATTTCCAGACGTTTTTAATATTTCAAGAGTAATACCCTTATTCAAAAAAGGTAGGTACTAGATCTTCACCGGATAATTATCTCCCAATTAGCATAATATCTATATTTGGAAAAGTAACAGATAATTTTGAAAAATTCTACCTCAACAATTCACAGTATGGTTTTCGAAGAAATAGGTCAACTACCCAAGGGCATTCAACCTAGTGTCGAACATAGTCGAAGGTCTTGATCAGGCAAAGCACTCTTCTTTGACATTATGTGACCCGACTAAGGCATTTGATTGTGTATCGCATAGTATTTTGATTGACAAAATGGGCTACTATGGCCTCCAGGGCACAGCTCTCAAGCTCGTCCAATCTTATCTAACAAATCGGTGCCAATTTGTTGAAGTGAACTACGTAAAGTCAGACCTCAAATAAATGAAGCATGGTGTTCCTCGGGGATCTGTTTTAGGTCCACTGTTGTTCTTGATCTACATCAATCAACTGTGCAGTCTCATGAAACCAGCAGGGTGTATTTTGTTTGCAGATGATACAACTTTAATGTGCTCTAGTAAAGACTTAAGTAGCTTACATTAGCTTACAATTGGTTTGCTGCTAACAAACTTACCTTGAATAAAGATAAAACTCAAAATATAATCGTTTCTTCCAATCGCAATATTCCCCAATCTAATAGTGTTAAGTTTTTAGGATTCACTATTGATCATAGATTGAGCTGGTCTGATCACATCAAAGCTATGATCAGCCAACTTTCTACTGTTTTGTTCATTTTGCGGGGACTGAACGATGTGGTCACCTTGATGACGCTGAAAAGAGCCTACTACGGATTATTTCACTCAGTTATTTCTTATAGTATTCTCATTTGGGGTCTTCTACTCTACTCTACTCTACTCTACTCTACTCTACTCTACTCTACTCTACTCTACTCTACTCTACTCTACTCTACTCTAATCTACTCTACTCTACTCTACTCTACTCCACTCCACTCCACTCCACTCCACTCCACTCTACTCTACTCTATTTCAATATTTCAAACAGCAACCGACTGACGCACTACATTTAACAAACTGTACTCTTTAGAGGAACAAACATTAATGAATGAATAATCATTCCTATTTTCCTATCACTACCACAAATATCTTACATAACTCATAAATACTCAAACCTATTAAAAGAAAAAATATGTTATCGAAATGTTTAATCGAATTCGTATTCACAGCCATCATTTGCCCCCATCGTTGCCTTCGACACTGATGCCAGTTCACACAATCAATTTAAAAAATATATTCTATGCAAAGATGTGTGGATTATGCAAAGAAGTAACTTTCAGGCAAAAACTGGAAGAAAAAGACCTCCTGAAACAGATACTTTCATTTAAACATTGTCTGATTTTGCGTAGACTTTCTTGGAAAGTATTTTGTTTATTAATTCGGCTTTAAACCCTTTGTTAACCGCAATTTGCTTGATGATATCAAGTTCTTTATTGAAATTATCTATTGAAAGAGGAACATTGACTAATCTGTGAATCATGCTATTATAAGCTGCTACTTTGTCTTGATAAGGATGGGTAGAATCGTACCTAATGTATACTAACATCCGTATAGGATGGTTTGTGATAAATTGAACAGTTAGTAGAATGAGCTACAAATATGATTTTTCAATTTATCACAAACCGTCCTATACGGATATTACTATACATTACGATTCTACCCATCCTTATCAACACAAAGTAGCGGCTTATAATAGCATGATTGACAGATTAGTCAATGTTCCTCTTTCAATAGATAATTTCAAAAAAGAATTCAATATCATCAAGCAAATTGAGGTTAACAATGGATTTAAAGCCGAATTAATAAACAAAATACTTTCCAAGAAAGTCTACGCAAAAGCTATTCGAGACGTTTTTCCTATTGATTAGTGGCTTCATTTTTGAGGAAACGAGATATTAAAATTGCATATGGAACAAGTAATATGTTGGGAAAGTTAGTTGAAAATAATAAAGACAAAACATCCAAATTCGAGAAATCAGGAGTATGTAAATTAAAGTGTGGAACGTGTCCTAAGGTATATATTGGTCAAACTGGCAGAACATTCTGTAACCGAATCCAGGAACATCATATGAGCTATGTAAATAAGAAAATAAATTCAACATATTCAAATCATCTAAAAGAAAATCATATCTTCAACGAAGAGTTCGAAATTTTGCACATAGAAAATAAAGGTTTGAAACTGAATGATTTGGAAGCTACGGAAATTGATAAACTTAAAAATTCAGACATTCTAATGAATGACCAACTGGATTTGAATAGATCACCATTATTGAACTTGTTTTCTTGAATAGGTACCGAAAAAGAATTATTATTGATGTAGATGTGAATATGCTTCAGGTATCATAATTGAAGAGGTAGGTATCTTAGGTGGAGGTTTAGGAAATAGTCTCAATTATGGTTACCTGTAGTCTATACATATTAGTGTAAGAAGTAACTTGAAGTATTCAATCACTTGATAAAGCTACTGTGTTAGCGAAACATGTTGTGATATATATTTTTCAATTAAGTTTGTGGAGATCAAATCATAACGTGTAGTTTGTGAAATTTAAACATTGAATTACACGAAAAAAGAAACTTTAGTGACAAATACTTTTATATGAACACTGTATTATACAAAAAACACTTTCCTCTACTATTTGCATTCCAAATATTCGTTACAGAATTGAATCAGATGGCATTCACAGGATTGCTATACAATATACTAAATGAAAAGTAAAATTTCACTTACATGGGACAATGTCATCCTCACTGGTAGACATCCGATGTTTCGCAGTAAGACACTTGCCTTAACAGCTCTTCAATACCAAAATCTGGATAACATAATAACAAAAAGCATTCATTTCATTCATAAAATTACGACTTTATGTTACGGAATGAGTTCATAAGCTCTCTGTTGAAAGCTTCGAACTGCGCTAGGGCTGGAGTGTCTAAGTTGAGTGGCTGCGGGTGTTCATAGATATCCTTCCAGAAGGATTCCACCTGATCAGCAGTCGGCGGATTATCCACAACACTTGGAGGCTCTTGGAATAAGCGAGAAGGTTTCTCGCGGAAGCTAAGGTTTTCCGCGATAGTTCTCGCTCGTCTCACTAGTGATTTCTTAGCAGCCACTAGCATTCGTATGTTTGTATTCCAAACATTCGTTGTGGAATTGAATCAGATATAATTTCACAGTATTCCTACGCAATGTTGATGATTGGCTCCTGAAACATTAGATGTAGTACAAGGAGTTTTCTGATATCAGTCTGTTGCTATTTCGCCAACATCCATATTTTTTTGAAGACATATAGCCAAGTACGATCCATTTCTAGAGAGCTGTTCGAAATATACTTCTCTCCAGATATGAGAGGGTGTTTCAAATTCGATCCTCACCATTGGGATTTCGGAAACATTAGAGATACGAAGATGGATATATTGGGGCAAAGTTGCGCATTTATCTGACTAACAATATGCTGTTGAGAAAGTTCTGAAATTCCGAAATTTTTTCCCTGCTACATAATGTTGGTTTCAAATTTGCTATCCGGCCACCATCATCAACTGTATTTTGTGTTATGGGTGTTATATTGGATCCTTTCTGTTTTGAATAGAACCAGATTTTACCTTTTCAATAATGTATCATAAGTTATAATTTTTTTTTCGAAAAATTGGAGATATTGAAAAAAATTAATTCTTATCATAATAGGCTTTGACTTTGATGTTTCTAAATTTGACTTTCAATTCGTTACACTCAATGACATTTTATTATTGTACAAGTCATTGAATTCTTGGGGAAAAATGGCTTTCACGAATGAAGAAAAAGTAGATATGATTCAAATTCATTACAAACACGATAGACACAGTGTTAAGACATCGGAAATGTATTTAAACTTGTATCCCGAAAGACGACCACCACATCGGATTATGTTCAAGTTATTGGATCAAAATCTCACCGAGTTTGGTCACTTGAAAAGCCGAAGAAAATATACGGAGACAGAATGGACCAGGAAACTGAAGAAAATTTGATAAATGAGGGATGTGTGGGGTAAGTTAGACATTGTGTTCTTTTTAATAAAAATTAATAATTTGCAGGTAAACATGAATCCAGGGAAATCTACACGTCAGGCAGTTCCGAAAAATTCGACCTCAAGTGCGATTTAGTATTAACGTGTGGGCAGGAATTTACAAAGAATTTTAGGCCTCCATTTATTTGGCGGAATTCTTGAAGGAGAAAGAAATCTATCACCAGCTTTTAATGTTGATTTTCGAAGACTATTTGGATGATCTACCTTTGGCTAACTATAGCAACATTTGGTTTCAACAACCAGACGAGTATCTGACTACCTGACTGAAAAGTTTGGTGATAAATGGATAGGGAATAATGGGCTGGTGAGGTGGCCAGCAAGGTCTTCAGACTTGAGTGTTATGGATACATTCTTATGGGGTACACTGAAAAATAAAATTTATGGTCAGAGGGAATATCAAAATGTTGAGGACCTTCAACATAGCATTGTTAGAGAGTTCGGAAGATTGAGGAGGAAGGAAATTAATTGTGTAGTGAATAATATTCGAAGAAGGGCACAGTTGTGTTATCGTGAACAAGGCCAGCATTTTGAGCATTTGCTGTGATTTACTTTTGTCTTCCCAGCTAATTATTGTTATTTGTTCAAAGTTCTATTTTCATTGAAAAGACACAATGTCTAATTTACCTCATACACACCTCATTTATCAAATTTTGATTGTTGATTCCGTCTCCGTATTTTTTCATTGGCTCTGAACCAAAACAAACTCGGTGAGATTTTTATCCAATAACGTGGTTGTCGTATTTTGGGATACAAGGTTATGTACATTTTCGATGTCCCAACACTGTTTCTATCGTATTTGTAATAAATTTGTATCATATCTATTTTTCTTCATTCGTGAAGGCCATTTTTTGCCAAAAATCAATGTGCCAGATTTTTACTCATCACCGTCAAATCATTCAAATATAAATAAACACATACAAATACAGCCCTAAGTCAACCTTTTTGCAATATCTTGCAAGCTCTACTTTTTTTATAATAAATTATTAAACAATTCCATTCACGTTGATTCTTACTTCTGCTGTTTTCTCACAGATTGGGAAAGAAGAAAATAAATAAAGAAAAACTCACCGAACTTAAAAGTGATATAATGAAGAGAAAAGCCCAATTGTATGAGGTTGAACAGACATTACCAAAACCAAATGGCATTTATTTGAAAATCATTTTAGGAAATGTGAACGTGTCCATTCTCAGTAAGGAAGAAAAGTAAGTAAGAGTTGAAATATTTTTGATTCACTGTAAAAAGATAAGATAAAATAAGATTAGAATTTTAAATATTTCCTTGATCACAATTATGTGGCGTATGAGATGCTATTAAATTCACATTTTTTCTCTACAATCAGAAAGATAATTTAATTATGCACAAAAACTACTCCGAGTTAGTTAGTCGTCAGTTTTTTTTTGCCTGACAATTCTTCAACCGCATTAGATCAACTGGAATGTAGCAATGTACTCAGCCTTATTCCATTTCAAGTGGAGTATCATATTGTTTGATATTAGCCCCAGTATTCTTTAGTAATATAGAACTTTCATGTACTTCTCCACAATATCGATAATCTATGTAGATGATACAACTCTAATAGTATCTGTACATGATCTTCAACAGACAACAAAAGCTGGGGGACAAATAATGGGTTGATAGTCAACTGGTATCAGGAACCGCTATACCCATCATATTACTACGAAAATGGTAAAAACATAATTCTGGCAGACCATGATGAACCCTTGAGTTTTTGACTTCAGCACACTAGACCTGGGAAGAAAAGGTCAATTTGATAAACCACGCATCGGCTTATCCTTATGTTGTCCATGATCCAATTCCTGCTTTCTCGAGGTAGCGAAACATGCAGAGAAGAGGATCTGAATTTCTGATAACTTTACAGGCTCCATCTAATACCATTCTGTCTTATGTCATATAGACATTCCAAACTCAAAAGTCCACGGTCTCCCTATCATCAAGGGAAATATAACCATGGAACGGAAGATTTGTGATGAAAAACTTCTATATAGAGGTATCATTTTTTGGGTCACTACGTCGAGTAAATACAGCTCCTTTTGATTTGAAGGTGGTTGACAATATTTCGTGGTGCATTTCACTAGTTCGGACTTCCATTGTCTAATATGATATAAATTGATTTGAAATCCCTGAAAGAATATGTCAAAAATTGAAAAGATGAGCTGAGAAATAAAAATTATATCAACCAAGAAACTGAAATTACAATGAAATAACATACAAGCAACGACCAAAAAATTGAACTATTAACACGAGATGAAAATTGAAAAATTATTGACAAGATATGAAAATTAAAAATTGAAAGATTCCAAACCAAGTTACTTTACGACGTTTCGATTGTTAGTATCCACAATCGTCTTCGGGTCATAACTGGACTTTTTCCTCCAAGATCTGACTATTTATAGGTCATTCGAGTTTTTCACCTATCCCCTCTTCCCTCTCCCCACTTCATCGGTTTTAGCGGGAGCTGTCCGTTTGGCGGGACTTAGTCGTGTTCCGCTTGATTAGAGGTTTCCATATGTTACGTATCTCTACGCTACCTTGGCTAAATGCATTGTTGGAAAACATATATGCGGCTTCTTTGAATTTTCTCCCAAACCCGTAGTGCTAGGAAGGCACTACGGGTGAGGCAGAGTCTCAAAGGGGCACACGCTCTTCGAATCTCTCCGATAGTCATTCCATCCTTCTCTGCATCGATTATGTCACACGTTTCTCTCTCTCACTCACTAAAGTCGCTCTTTGAAACACTTCTAACGACGCGCGACCTTGAATAAGTTTGTTAATCTACTGATTTGAATTTCCCGCTGTACGCGCGGTAGCTTCTGATTGATCGACTGGATGACGGCAAAAATGAAGGAGTGGGGGTGGTCTGAAGTGGGCTTTAAAGATCTAAGGCCCAATTCACACAAAATCGACGTCTGGCAGAGACGAGGCGTCCATTCGGTGTGAAATGGGCCTGAGGTCCAAAAATCGCCAGAACGGACCTGCTCAAATGTGCACGTGTTTTCCAAAAGAAATGAGCCAGAACTCTTGTAGCTTTATTACTGATCTTGGTGCAACATCATCCTCCTCCTCCTGATGATGCTAACTTGGTTAACAATGATACCACTTATTGTCCTTCTAACATGTTGGATCGCACGTTAAAAGTTAGACCCTTCTAGTCATCGTCGTCGTAATTATTTTTTGTCCTGCCGTCTTCCTAAGCCTTCATGCTTGATTTTGAAAATCGTCAACGTCTCGAACGCCACATCGCTCCATAAAACAAATGATTTATTTCACAATCGACAACACCATATCTGTGATGCTTGCGCTGCACGCCGTCAACACGTTATCTTTATAACGGATCAACTTGATACCATCTCCATCTCTCTCACACTCATACGTCAAATTGTCCTCCCAATCTTGGGAGTGGACTGAAATACGGCATTTCCCACTTACATCTTTAGCAACCCCTTTTTGATGAGTTTGTTGAACTTTTTTAGACAGCTTTAGTCAAATTATAGCTAGAGAAATATTTATGCCACACTATAATTTCTCATGTGATATTTTCATTTTTCAGGTTCAAATATAAAGATGAATATGAAAAATTTAAATTGATACTAAGTATCATTGGTATTGTTATGGCTATTCTTAACTTTTCTGTGAGATTTCGACCATTAGAACTCAGCTATATATTTTTATTAGTTTGGTACTACTGTACTCTAACTATCAGAGAAAGTATACTGAAAGTGAATGGATCCAGGATCAGGGGATGGTGGAGGCTACATCACTTCCTTTCCACAGTGGCAGCTGGAATATTACTCATTTGGCCGGACAACGAAAGCTGGTCCTACTTCAGGAATCAGTTCATGGTGTTTAACATCTATATAAGTGAGTAAATTATTTACATAATAATGCTATAAAATTCCACTTGTCTACTACTTGCTGAAGGTACGAAACTAAGGTAATATTGTTTTGTGTGAAAAATATTCTGTGTGGAATACTCAAAACTATACAGTATAAAACAAAAAAGACGATAAAGAAAATATATAATTTATTCTATTCACTGAAATGTTTGCAATTTCTGGAACATTGACCGGATAAATAAAAAGTAAATTCCACTCATATGAATTTAGAAGCGATAATAGTTTTTAAAGTTCAAATTTTGTTTATTTGATCTAATATTTATATGATGGAGTCGGTCGATATTTGATGAAAATCCATAACGTATCTAAGAAACACTTTATTTTGAGATTTTTGCTACCCAGTTTTACAAAAACGCAACACGGCAACACGTGTCTCGCTATACAATAGCTTCTTCAGGCGCTATTCTTCAGAAGCTATTGTATAGCGTAACACATGTTGCGTTTTTCTAAAACTGTGTAGTGAAAATCACACCAACATTTGAATCGAATGAATTACGACAGGTAGATGGATTATTNAGTACTTCTGTCCAGCCTCGGGATTGGTTTTTGTTGTTTCTGTTTTTGTGTTTGTTTCATTTATTTGTGTTCCTACGAGTAGCAAGGGAATAGTTGGTCACCTCTGGCAGAGCCCCGCATTACCAGAGGTAGGCTAATTACAATGAGGTTTCTCCCAATCTCTCAGGGGGATCGTTCGTAACCGCAATATCACCCTGCGGTCATTCAGCTGTCGGCACGATTCCTTACACCTTAGCTTGAGTAGGTTGGTCCACGGTGGCATGTTTTGCAAAGGATTTTGGGGAGTTTTACTTCCCCTCACCCTATTTATTTCTGCCACTGACCAGGAGTCCGGCGACCCAGTCCGTAAGGACACATTGGCTTCCCGGACAGGGCCTCCAGCCCCCTGGCCGTTCCCCTATCCGCCACCTGGGGACGCGCCCGATAGGTAGCCCAACACACGTGACTAGTCTTACATTAATTTTACAATGTGTCCTTATGTAATAGTCAGGTAAATCTAATAATTAAAATATTATTTTAACAAGCTATATAGTATACTATCAGGTATTGGTTCACCATCGTTATTCATAATATTTATGTTCACTTATTTCTACACTCTCATAGGAATCTAGATGTTTATGAGAGTGTTGACAAGTTAACTTGTCTAGACAAGTTAACAACAACAGGCATTTAGATGCCTACGAGAGTGTAGAAATAAGTAAACATAATAATATTATGAATAACGATGGTGGACCAATACCTAATAGTATACTATATAGCTTGTTAAAATAATATTTCAATTATTAAGCTTACCTGACTCAGCGGCGGATCAACACATTTGCCGCCAGTAGGCTATTCAAATTTTGCTGCCCCTTCTGACCTCTGCATTTCGATACCCTACACGGACAAAAAACGGTGGACGAAAATATTTTAGAATTGAAAGACTGAAAAATGATTCTTTGTTTTTAAAAACATTCATATTTTATGAAAAATTAAGAACTGAGTTCTTCTTCTTCGGGTGATAACTGGATTTATTCCTCCGAGATCCGACTATTTATAGGCCATTCGAGTGCTTTCACCTATCCCCTCTTCTCCCTCTCTCCGCTTCATTGGTTTTTAGCGGGAGATGACCGTTTGGCGGTAGTTGGTCGTTTTTCGTTTGATTAGAGGTTTCCATATGTTACGTATCTCTACGCTAGCTTGACTCAATGCGTTGTTGGACAACATATACGCGGCTTCTTTGAATTTTCTCCTAAACCAGTGTTCCTCTTGATTTCAGCTTGAGCTCATCATCGTGTTTCGATATGACAGTCATCTGTCATTTACGGTCTCTCATCGTGCATTTGTTAGGCTAGTAAGCATCATCAGGAGATGACTGAATTCCATGCTTTGTCGTATGAAGCTTCATTTTGCGAATTTTCGGAACCCCGAACGGAACCTTGCGGAACACTCAACCAATTTGTGAAACAGAGTGGTGTCGGTCAGCCAATCAGGGAACAAATATCGGGTGGTTGTTTGTTAGATGAAATTGAACTAGAGAATAAGGGCCACATAATGATAATAATGATGATGATAAAACATAAAAACGTTGAAGGTGACGTCGTCGGCGTGGTGACGTGATAGAAAATGTGTGATGATTTGTGAAAATGAAAGAGTTATTACAAAAAAAAAACAAAGATGACGCAATATGTTAGAAGGGCACTAAGTTGTATCTTCTATGTTATATCATCACGTGCAGCACATCGAACGAAAGGAAAAAGGAATGTTGAATTTATTGGTCAAGAAAAACAGAAATTGCGGTCAGAGGAGCACTACACTACAATAACTTCGATACGTACAGCATATCAAATGAAAGAAGAGGCCGATTCGAGAACGTAGTTGATGTTGGGGAGACGTACGGGATAACAAGTTGTGTACTGACGAAAATACAAACATGGTGGGCCATAGGGGCGCTTAGTCGGTTCAAGTCGTGTGATATGTCCTCTATTTGGGTGTACAACTTTAATTTGGTACGAGTTGTAGATTTGGTGCTAATGGCTTATATTTTAGGCACAATTCCTTAGAAAAAAAAAACAAAGATGGCATGCAATTTGTCAGAAGTTACATCTTCACTATTGATAGTAGGATCGGTATACAGCACGTCAAATGAAAGGAGGGATGTTGCATTTATTCTTTCTTATTTGAAGTCTCATTAAATTTTGGTTATCGTGTATACAACTAATTGCTCACTAGAATAATAAATTGTTTTAGTTTTCGGGAAAAACATTTCAGACTAATGTTATCCAATTTGGTATTGAAGAGCCTTAGGGCAAGTGTCTTAAGGCGAAACATCGATGTATACCAGTGAGGATGACAGTGTTCCATGTAAGTGCAATTTGTTAACATTCATTTAAAGTAGAACTCATGTGAATGATATCTGATTTTTATTCCACAACGAATGTTTGAAATACAAACTGAGTAGAGAAAAGTATCTTCTGTATAATTCAGTTTTCATATAGAAGTATCTGTTTCGAAAGAATTTTTTTCTTTCGTGTAATTCAATGTTTATATGAAAGTAGCTGTTTCAGAAGGACTTTCTCTTTCAGCTTGTGTCTGAAAGTTACTTATTTGCATGATCTCTACACATCCATGTACAGAGTTACTAATTTTCAAATTGATTACTTCCTTCCTTTCTTTTGAAAATTCCCTCATCTTTTTTTTGTATCAAGATGGAGTAGTAGAAAGCCAAAAACTTTCTTTCACAAAAATTAAACACTCCTAGAAATAAAACCCCTTCAATTCATAATAATATACTTGACAATAAAATCTAAATTTGCAAACCTTCTAAAACAGTAATATAAGTTAAGTTAATTACTGATTCGTTATGGATGACTAATACATTAGGATTACTTATACCTGCAATAAATTTGTATTGTGATGTCTCCACTTAATCGATGAACGGTGTTGTTATGTTATAAAAATTATGTTTTGTTTTGACAAAAATTAAATACGGAACGGGCCTTCCCAGTTTGTATCGCATCTATATATCTTTCTCTCTTGCTCCCGAACTCAATTCTGCCACACGTAACGGCTTCCTCGGCGACCCGACCTCCCCGCGCTTTCATTTCGGCCAGACACTCTTAGCAAATGATATTATGATCGTCATTGTTTGATTGAAGGTGGTTGACAATGTTTCGTGGTGTATTCATCAGTTCGGACTTCTATTGTTTACTATAATATAAATTGATTTGAAATTCCAGAAAAATATTAAAAAGATTTACCGAAAATAACAATTTTATTTGAACAAAAAAACTGAAATTACAAAGAAATAACATAAAATCAAACAACAACCAAAAAATAAAAATTGAAATAATAATAAAAGCTGAAATTTGAAAATTAATATTAACAAAAAACGAAAAATAAAAATTAAAATATTTAAAACCAAGTTATGTCACGACGTTTCGATTGTTAGTATCCACTTCGGGTGATAACAGGACTTATTCCTTAGAGATCCGACTATTTATAGGCTATTCGCGTGCTTTCACCTATCCCCCCTTCTCTCTCTCTCTCTGNTTTCAGGTCATTTCATTTTTGAGGCTATTAAGCTGTGGTTTAGAATCATAAAAGATTTTGGAAAACCCAAAGACATTTCTTTTTGGAAAAAAATTATTGTTGTTTAAAATCTCAAACAAGTTTATTCCGAATATTATCCAAGTCAGCACTAATATGCAGGATATATCACTTTAACTCAAACAACCGCTACATACTTTTTGTATTGAAAAAGAGTTCAAAAACTGTATTCACTTATGTATACTTTATAAACCAGTACTTGCCTATAAACAGCTGCATCTCTTCGGAACAAATCACAACGTACTGAATGAAAAACTAAAACGAAGGAAATAATTCGAATTATGTCTCATGAGAAAAATATATTCGATCACACAAGTTGTTTGGAATCTTTTCAAATGATCATTCCTTCAAATTAAATAATGATTCTGTAATTTTTGAATTTGTTTTATTGTAGACCTGTTGCATTGCATCGCAGCAGAAGAATTTTTCTCTTTCAATGCAGAAAAAACAATGTGGTACCTTCAAATAAAGAAATTAATAATGAAAATTTGAATATCCTTTTTAATTCTACAAATGGAAAAAATTCTTATGACATTCATGATTTCAATGACAAATCAAAATCACACAATGATTTAAAAAATTTAGGGAACCTTTCGAATAAACAAATAAAGTTTGTAACAATATTTGGCTAGACAAAAAAAAAGAGACAAACTATCAAATACAATAAAACCTTCAAAAATGAAAATGTCGATAAAATGAATAGACTTAACTACTAAAGAAGTGACTGAACCAAATTTACTCTCAGATATCGAAAACTTGATAACTGGAACTGCTGTTCGACATTCCTTGCAATGTGAGTTAGTTGCCATGGAAACTCGTTTGGGTTAGATTCTGATGGGTGAAATTCCTAAGACCCATTCAAGACATCCTGAGGATTCTTTGATGTAGCGAAACGCTCGTTGAGAGTTCTATAGTTCTGGTGTGAAAAAAGTGTCTCATTAAATCAACTATATCTTTTATGTCAATGTAATTAATTCAAATTGAAAGGGGTATATGTTTAGGAGAGGTTAATTTTTGGAAGATTCCCACATATTTTGTATCAAAATGGAGAAGTAGAAAGCCAAAACCTTTCTTTCCCATGTGATTAGTTCTAGCAAACATCCTGTATTCCTTTTTTCTGAAGCAGAATTGGATCATTGGGATGCCAATATTTACATATCATTCAAATAATATTTTATGATTCCCAACAATGGTAATAACAAGTGGATATTATTGAATGATTTGTGTTCGTGTTACTATTGTACTTTTTCAATAATGGTGCAAGTTGTGACTATATTATGATAGAGAAAGCAAGTTGAGAAATTTTTAGGAGATCCAAATCATATGAAAGATATTTCTTGAACATCTTTTTTTTGTCATTTTTATTCAACATGAACTGCAATACCTGAAATGAATGAAAATACAGGGTGATTCAAAAGTACTTTGACAAACTTCAGGAGGTGATTCCTCACAATATTCTAATATGAATTGTCCAAATAAATAAATGTCCGGAAACGCTTCGTTTCCAAGATACAGGATGTTGGAAGTTTTATTTTTATTTTCGTTTCTTTTCAAATAACTTTTGAAATAATGAACTTG